CCTTTTCATATTAGTTGCCATTGTGTATATTTGGTTGAGGAAGTTTTTTTTAGATTTTTCTTGAACAGAAGTGATCAGAATTTTTTTTTTTTTTGTGGAACCTGGGATTGAACTCAGACCCTTGCGCTTGCCAAGGAAGCGCTTATTCCACTGAGCCATCTCGCCGGCCCTTGGTCAGAATCTTTTACAGTTGAATGATTTTTTTTTTATAAGTTTCAAGTCTTTTTCATGTACCTTATTTATTCTTACAACTTTGCAGGTAGATAAAGCCATATCCTAGTTGACAAATGAAGAGATAGGATCAGAGAGATGATATTAACTTGCTTACATCATTCAGTTTGGACAAGAAATAGAACTTTCAGTTTTTCAAGAGAGCAAGAAATTGATACAGAAGTGGCATCATGATACCAACATTGCATTGTAATTTCAGGTTAATCAGAGAAAGCTCTTACCGCACATATGAAAAAGAAAGTGTTCACTCTGGGCAACTGATACATCCTGACTGAGCTCATGTATCATGAAGTCAGTTTAAATAGCTGGTCAAGCAATGGAGGCAAGCTGGGCAATTGCCCTTCCTATTCTAGGTGGAGAGTAACTCATATTTGCCAGAATGAGAACCACCTGTTGAGGATTACATTTCCATGACGTTTTCTGAATTTAATCCTTATGTAGGTGATGAAATTCATTCTTTTCAAAATCAAGATGAACCAGAACAGTCATTTGACCCACCTGTGCAGTTTTAAAAATATTTTGAATAATGGAGACTGAACTAAAACTCAGACACTGAACAATGATTAGATAAATCTGTTATTTAAAAGGGTTTCTCCACTCTCTCTAAGAGGAGGGGAAAATTCTAATAAATCCCAGAGTGTTTGCATTCTGTTCTTATTTCATTGCTATGGCTGAGCTCCTTTGGTATGCTGAAATGAAAACTGTTTTTCCTATGAGAGTCATCATATGGTGCCTTCCTAATTTTGGATTACCAGCTCAATTTAAGCTGCATGCTTTCCCTGTGATGGTTGGTTTATTAACATGTAAAACTAGTTACATTTTTAGGTATTTCTTCTGAATAGTGACTGCTGCCTGATGGATAGTCATATTATCAGCTCTTCTTAGGACTTTGTTCATCATAGCTCTGGAGTCTACATACGAAAAACACTTAAGAGAGATGAAATTTTTGGAGTTGTGAACCTCATTGTTTACTTTTGGAATTTTTCTGAAGGTGATTTGTGTCAAATTAGCCTTTTAAAAGTTTTTATTATTTTAATAAGTTTGAAGTATAATGATGCTTTTTCAAAAAAGCATCAAATACAAAAAAATCTCTTAAAGAGTGCCTATTAAAATTCAGTTTCCTAAGGGTCATCCCAGACCTGCTGACTTGGAATCTAGCAGGATAGTGTAGGGCTCTGCATTTTAACAGCATCCCAGGTGATTGTAATGTAGTCTGGCTTTTGAGAACCACCACCCTCAGATGTTGCATCACCAGTACTAAAATTCTTCATTCTCTAAAATGACTCCCACATCTGTGCTTTTTAGCTTTTGAAGTCAATCAGGTGACTTGATTTCATTATTCAGGTTCTATTTTGGTTATAGTTTATGTTTTTCATCTGCTGTCTCATTCCTGTTTTTCCATGTCCAGGATATAAATCAGTCATTTATCAAATATTTATTGCATGCATCTTAATTGTGAAGCATTATGTTAGCGTGCATTACTCACCCACATGTTTGCGTGTGTACATGCGTACACACATAATGCTGAGTGCGTGTTACTCTAGAGCATTGTGTATGGCAGCCTTGGTGAGTGTTTTTCTGATGTTTCTGTTCGTTGGAGTAAGCTTTTGGGTTTGGACCCAGGAGATTCTGAGATGTAATAAATAATTGTCCCCATTGGCTGGGACAGACGGAACAAAAGTAGAAGTGATGCAAAGAGCCTGACCTGGGAAACACTGAATTTGAGACATAGTTCTACCATTTCCTGAGTATTCTTTTTTTTTTTTTTTTTTTTTTTTTTGGTGGAACTGGGGATTGAACTCAGGCCCTTGTGCTTGCCAGGGAAGCGCTTATTCCACTGAGCCATCTCCCCGGCCCCTCCTGAGTATTCTTGAGAAGGTCAGTTAACTTCTTTGAAACTTGATTTCTTGATCTAGAAAATGAGAAGAATACTGATTTTTCTCTCTTTCCAAGTTTAAGAATCAAATAGCATAAAATATGTGTATGAAAGTTCTTTGTTATTCCATTGCTATATCACTGCAAGCCATTATTATTTGCAGTTATGAATATTTTTGGCATTTTTTTAGGGAAGGGTCTACAGGGTGTTCAGGGCTCACTACTATATCAGACTCATACTGATCCTCCTGTTTACAGCCTCCCAAGTGCTGGGATTACAGGTGTGGGCCACCACGTCCAGTCTCAATTGTAGCTCAGCACATCCCAGGGGGTGGGGCCCAGCCCGGCAGGCCTGGGGCATTGAACCCCTGGTTCCTGCTCCTGCTTGCAGGAACTTTAATCCACTGAGTTATTTGGCAGCCCAGATACTCTTATCTTTATGCAGTTTTTTTATGTTTCATTTGATCTTCAGGACAACTGAGGTAAGTAGGGAAGTATTTACAATTTCTTTGAACAAATGAGAATGCTAACACCCAGGAAAGTTAGGTGACTTCCCCAAGTTTGCTGAGGAGCAAAACTAGCACTTAATGTTTTACCTTTTTACCCTTGAGAACGGACCTAATAAACCTTCCTGGGCTTTTATGTAGTTAGGTGATCTGCAGATAGGAAGCTTTTACTGAGAGGTATCAGTTTCCTTTTTCTTAAATGTTCATTGCCTCCTACCATGTTATCCATATAGTACTTATAGTGAATTACGATATAGAAAACAGGACCTTTTCCTTCTTTTTCCTTTACATTTCCACTTATAATATGCATTCTTCTTGAAGCATCTGTTACAACTACTAAAAGAAAATGATACGTTCTCATTTCCTTTTATTTTGTTGATATATATGGAATTTGTAGTTTTTCTTAGTTGATGGCAAAAATAAAAATTGCACCTCTTATCTGAATCAACTTGGATCACAATATATTTAAAGAGACAGCCTTGTACCATTTTCTGTTTTAAAGTGAAACTGTCTTTTCAAATGCATATTTTTTAACTCATTTTAGGACAAAGTAGATGCTGGCTTGCCTACAGCAATTGTAAGTATACTTTAAACCTTTTGAATGTAAACTTTTTGATTTGTTTTTATATTCTTACAATATGGAAGGTTGTTATATAAGCTATTACGATTGCAGATTCATAGGTCATTTTACTCCCAGGAATCAGGTTTAAAATTTGCCCAAGTTGAAGGTTTTCATTCTAATTCCTTACCACTTTTTAGGCTTTTGTTTGGAATGGAGATAATGGAGTCATGATTCCCAGGCTTATTTGTAGGTAGTATCACTTCCCCAGAGTAACTTGCTTCTGCTGTGATATGGTCTCCCTTCTATTATAGGGAGTGGAAAACAGCATTCAGTGAAATCCCTTTGTGGTAAATATATGTTTAACAGCTCTGACTCCACTGCCAAGCCTGCCAAATAGTAAATCTGTGGAGAACTGGGAGATATTGAAAGCCCACTAATGCCCTCTTTTCTCATCCTCCTCCAGCTGCCTCCTGTAGCTTTCTCATTAGTCATTTGGTGAGGAAGTGGCTGAGTTTTAAACATTTCTGGTACTTCTTGGCTCCTGTGAGTAAACTGGGCAAGAGTTCTGATGTGTACCTTCCCCACATGTCACAGGAAACCCTTGAATGGCAAATACTTTGTCTGGACTCTTTTTTTAAAAATTGCTTTAGAGAAGGCTAATGGCATGTTTTTTGCCTGTAATGTTGAACATATGATATTTTGATAGTGTTTCTCATAGAGTAAATTTAGAGAGATTCTCAGAACTAAAATGTCCTGAGTTTCATTTCCTGTTTGCCTCTTATTTGAAATTCTTGTTTATAATAGCTGGTATGTTGTCTGGTGCCTAGCGGAAGGCAGGCCAACAAGTTTAACTCTGATTATTTCAAGATCTTCAATGTAATATCTTCAAATGTAATTTTCCCTTTTGGTTTCAGGCAGTCTCCAGTCTGATAGCAGTGGGTACATCTCATGGATTGGCTTTAATATTTGGTAAATTTTCTAAGTACTTTCCTACTTGTAAATATTAAGAATCCTTTAGAGTTTTATAATGCCCGTTAATCATATTTTACAAAGTAGAGTTCATTTTCTTGAACAAAACCAGAAAAATGTGTAACATAACAACAAATACTCTATAGTTAAGAATTACTGGGATATCCAGTAATGTGCTCCATACAAAAAACACATTTAATTCAAAAAGAAATTTATAGACTGAAAGTCAAAGCATAGAAAACAATACTCCTTGTGACAGGAACCCCCAAAAAACAAGGGTAGCTATTTTATTTGCAGACAAAGTGAATTTCAAGCCAAGACTGATTAACAAAGTTAAGAAGGTCACTACAAGGACAACCCAAGAGGAAGAGCTAGCAATCATAAATGTATATGTAATAAATACTGGTATATCCAGCTATATAAAAATATTAATGGGCCTGAGAAATCAAATAAGAACTAATACAGTTGTATTGTTCTTGATGTCCACTATCTCTGTTCTTATTCAACCTAGTCCTGGGAACTTTGGCCAGAGCAATTAGACAAGAGAAAGAAATAAAAGGAATAATGATAGAAAAAGAAGTGAAAATATCATTATTTGCAGATTACATGATACTCTACATTGAAGACCCCAAAACTGCACTAAAAAACCTCTAGATTTAATAAGCAAATTCAGTAGTGTAGCTGGATACAAAGTCAGCACTCAGTAATCAATAGTCTTCCTGCACCCAAATAACAAAGTCACTGAGAAAGAAATTAGGGAAACAACACCTTTCACAATAGTTTCTAAAAAAAACCCCAAAACTAGGAATCAATCTAACAAAGGATATAAAGACCTTTATATTGAAGACTCTAGTACAGAAAGAGTTGTTGAAGCAGATAGCCTAAAATGGAAATATATTCCTTGCACTTGGGTAGGAAGAACCAAAATAGTGAAAATCGCCATACTTCTAAAACTGTTATACAGATATAATGCCATTTGAATCAAAAGTCCAATAGCATACCTCGCAGAATTAGAGAAAACAATCCTAAAATTCATTTGGAACCAGAAGAGATATAGAATAGCAAATGCAATTTTGGGCAACAAAAACAAAGGCAGGGGACATGACAATCCCTGACTTGAAATTATACTGTGAAGCTATTGTGATAAAAACAGTGTGGCACTGGCAAAAGAACAGACCTGAAGATCAATAGAACAGATTAGAAGATGCAGAAACGACTCCAAACATACTTAGTCACCTTATTTCTGACAAAGGTGCCAAACACATTCACTGGAAGAAAGATAGCATCTTTATTATTTCCCTTTTTTTTGGTACTGGGAGTCAAATTCATGACCTTATGCTTGCCAGGCTGCTGAGCTATATCTCTGGCCCAGCCTCTTTATTAATGGTCCTGAAAAAACTGGCTCTGCACATGTTGAACATTAAAATTGGACCCATATCTTTCACCATGCATTAAACAATTTGAAATGGGTCAGAGCTCTAAATATTAAAACAAGATGAAATCTACTGGAAGGTAGAATAGGGAAAACTCTTGAAGACATTGGTACAGGCAGACTTCATAAGTAAAACCCTGATTGCACAGGAATTACTACAAAGAATCAACAACTGGGATATCATCTTATTAAAAAGCTTGTGCACAGCAAGAGAAACCACCAATAAGGAGAAAAGACAACCCATAATGTAGGAAAAAATGTTTGCTAGCTATTCCTGAGACAAAGGATTACTGTTAATAGCATTATAAAGAACTAAGAAAAAAACAGCCCTCCCAGATTTAAAGACCCAATCCAAAAATGGGCATCTGAGATGAATATATATCTCTCAGATGAAAAAATACAACTAATAAATATAAGAAAAAATCTTCAACATCACTGGTTATTTGAGATGCAAATTAAAACAACACTGAGAGGGGCTGGGGAGATAGCTCAGTGGTCTAAGTGCCTGCCTGGCAAGTGCAAGGTCCTGAGTTCGATCCCTGGTTACCTCATGTTATGCTGGTCACCAGAACTGAGCATGGTGGTGCATGCCTGTAATCCCTGTGCTGGGGCGGCCAAGACAGGAGAATCACTATGAGTCTGAGCTGCATAGTGAGACCCTGCACCAAATAAATAAATCAATGATTTTTAAAAAATTAAAAGAAAAAAACCCTAAAAAACCCCCACTGAGATTCCATCTCCAGGAAGAATGGCTATTACTAAGAAGTCAACCAATAAATACTGGAGGGGCTGTGTGGAAAAAGGAACCCTTCACTGTTGGTGGGAGTATAGACTGGTGCAACCACTGTGGAAATCAGCGTGGAGATTCCTCAGAAAATTAGGATTGGAGGTCCCATTTGATCCAGCTATTCCCTTTCTGGATATTTTCCCAGGAGCATTAAAAACAGCATATCACAGTAATATATGTGCACCCATGTTTAAGGCAGCACAGTTTGTAAAAGCTCGATGTTGGAGACAACCCAAGTGCCTGTCAACTGAGGAATGTATAGAAAAATGTGATATTTTTATGCAATGGCATACTATTGAGCTATAAAGAAGGATAAACTGGAGACTTTTGTAGGTAAATGGATGCAACTCATAAGTGACCATAATCATAAGTGAAATAGTTTGGAGATGTGTAAACATCATATTGTCTCCCTAGAGAATTTGAAAGAGTAAATAAGATCTAAAATGTATAATAGATACTATAAAATGGGAAGAAACTTCAAAAGAAAAGAGAAACTGGGATTGGGGAATGGAGAAAAGGGAAGGAAGAGATACTTAAAAGATAGTTAAGGTAATTATACTACTAATTTCTCGTAATTCATTGAAAAAAAAGGTTGTGTTTGTATTGTTTGGATAATTAAATACTGATATTTTGTTTTCAGAATAACTAATTTAAAAATAACAATACACAATGTATTAACCATTGTAACCTCTTAACTTGTTTTGAAACTTTATTTTTTTCTCTTTAAAATAAAAAATTGGGCCAGCCAAATAGCTCAGCAGATTAAAGCGCCTGCAAGCAGGCACAGCAGGGCTAGGGATTCGATCCCTAGGCCTGCTGTGCCAACCCCACCCCAGGGTGCGCTGAGGTGGCAATTGAGACTGGGCATGGTGGCGTGTGCCTATAATCCCAGTTTTTTGGAGGCTGTAAATAGGAGAATCACTGTGAGTCCGATCTAGTAGTGAGACGCTGAGCACCCTGTAGGCTCTTCCCTAAAATAAAAAAAAAAATAAAATAAAAAAAAATGCTGAGTATGATGATGCATCCCTTTAATCCCAACTACTTGAGAGACTGAGAAGGAGGAAGATCAGAAGTTCAGGGCCAGTCTGGGCAACATAGTGGGAATCTTGATATAGACATAACTTTAAAAATTATGTGACACGGCTGGGTTTGTTGACTCACACCTGTAATCCCAGCACTCGGGAGGCTGACACAGGAGGATCGTTGCAAGTTGGAGACCAGCCTGGGCTACATAGTGAGCCCAAGGCCAGCCTGAACTGTGTAGTGAGACCCTGTTTTAAAAAGACCAAACAAACAAACAAACAAACAACCAAATTGACTGTACAGCTCCATTTTGCTGCTCACAGCACGGTTTTCTTGCTTGTTATGTCACATTTGTTGGCTTCTGTAGACCTAGGCAGAATGATTTGTCATCATACCCACTTCCAGTTGTTGTTGGTGTTCATTTTTTAAAAAAATTATCCATCTTTATTTGTTTGTTTGTTTATTTATTTATTTATTTATTTTGTGTGTATGTGGCCACCTCAGCCCACCAGGGGGCGGGACTGGCTGGCATGTGGTGCTGGGGGATTGAACTGCGGTCCCTGTGCTTTGCTTAGCTTAGCTTATTCTAAGTAGGTGCTTTAGACCACTGAGCCATCTCACCAGCCCTGGTGTTTATTTTTAAATTCTAAATGATAATAATTGGTTTTATAAAAGATGTTCAGGAAAATGAATTCCTCAGAATTCTAAGTAATTTTACAAGATTCTTACTGATAATGTGTTCCATCATATCTCTTTTCAACCCCAAAATTTTTTTAGCCCATAGTTGTGTTGTTTTCTTGGTTGAGAACATGAGTAGTTATTCATGAGTAATTATTTTCATAGATGTTAGTTGTATTTTTTCAATGCTTTTTTCTCTGAGACTAAATTGTTTCTTTAGTCCTTTGCTTTTGAATTTGTAGGTAAGCAGAATGTTTTCTTCTGCTTTTTTTTTCTTCCTTTAGAAACCATTAGATAACCTGATGATATTATATTGAGTAAGGAATGTTTGCTAAGGACTAGTTGGGAGTACTTTAATAACAGAACCATAATTCGATTTTTTTTTTTGCGGAACTGGGGATTGAATACGGGCTCTTGCGCTTGCCAGGGAAGTGCTTATTCTACTAAGCCAACTTTCTGGCCCCCCCATAATTTGATTTTTGTAGAGCCTGGCATCTTTATTTACTGAATGAGTAGATAACTAGTTTCCTTTGTTTTTAAACAATTTAACTTTCTATTTATAAATTTTCTATTATAGCAAAAACTTTATTTAACATGAGTTTATAATATCCAGTCATTTCAAAGGTAATTCATTTAAATGACAAAGTTTTATTGCTTGGGGACCAGAAGAACAGAAACAAAAATATAAATTTTTTTTTTTTTTTTTTTGCTCCGAATGCCTTCAGGGCAAGTTTGGCTGGCTTGAGTTGTAGGGATCGAACCACAGCAACCTGAGCCTGACTGCTTTGTTGAAGTAGCCACTTAAAGAACTGAGCTAAGGGGTAGGCCCCCCAAAATATAATTTTTTTGAAAAAACTTTAAAATTCATTTTTAAAGTAATATTATTTTATTACCACATAATTGACATATATATTCATGGAAGGAAATTTAGAAAATGTAAACAAAAAGGTAAAGATATAAAATTATAAAATAATCTAACTCTACCATCCAGAAATAATTCTTAATGGGGCTGGGGAGATGGCTTAGTAGAATAAGTGCTTGCCTGGCAAGTGCAAGGGACTGAGTTCAATCCCCAATTCCACCGAAAACAACAACAACAAACCAAAAAACAAAACAAAAAAAACCCCAAAAATAATCCTTAAGAGTTTACTTTCACTTACTCACTTTCTTCTCCTCTACTCTCCCCTCCCCTTCTATCCCCTTCCCTTTCATCCCCTTCCACCTCTTCTTTCCTCCCTTTTCCTCCCCTCCCCTCCCCTCCTGTCTTCTTCTCTGAAGGCAATCGCTCTTTTAACAGGCTACATTCTCAACACTTTTTATATATTATTTTGAGACAGGGTTTCACTAAGTTGCATAAACAGTCTTTGTCTTTGAGATCTCCCTACCTCAGCCCTCTGAAGCATGTGGGATTACACTGTAGTGTACCTAGTTCCTTTGTAGTCTTCTTATCCTCAAGTAGGATCATGTTATTTTGAATTGGTTTTCATTATACTTATATCATTTTAATGATACATAGTATTCTTTTAAATGGATTCATCAAAATATGCTCAACATCTCCACACTTAAGAATCTCTCACTCCCTCTCACTGATTTGGGATTGAGCCCCGGGCCCTCACATTGAGTTATATCACCAGACACCACTCTTTTTTTTTTGAGACAGTGTCACTAAGTTCCTAAATTGCCTAGGCTGAAGTGGAACTTGTGATTCTCTTGTCTCAGCCTTTCAGAGTTACTGGGATTGTAGGCATGTGCCCCTACCAAGAAAGTATACTAAATTGTTTTTAACAATAATGTGTTGAACATCTTTGTTTCTGCATTTTTGTGTATATGGTTAGTTTCTTAGGGCAGATTCCTAAAAGTGGAAGTTCTTGGGCCAAGACATGCACATTAACGACTTGATGTGTATTGTTTAATTGCCTTTTGGAAAAGTTTTGCCATATTAGTTTCTTTTTCTTCTTGTATTTTTTAGGAAAGGGTCTACAGGGTGTTCAGGGTCTCACTACTAGAGTGGACTCATAGTGATCCACCTGTTTACAACCTCCCAAGAGCTGGGATTACAGGTGCATGCCACCATGCCCAGTCTCAATGCACGGCAGGCCTGGGGATCGAACACCCGGCCCTCATACCTGCTTGCAGGCACTTTAGTCCACTGAGCTAGTTGGCTGCCCCCCCCCTTCCAGATTAGTTTTTTATCAGGTACTAGAATGCTTATTTTCCTATAAGGACATAAGTGGTGTTGAGTTGATACTTTTTTTTTTTTTTCTGCAAAACCAGGGATTTGAACTCAGACCCTTGCGCTTGCCAGGCAAGTGCTTATGCTACTGAGCCATCTCCCCAGACCTGACTTTTTTTTTTTTTTTTTTGATGGTACAAAAATAAAACCTTTAGTCTTCATCTATTTCTCTTATCCAGAATCAATCATGTATATTCAACTTTTTAAAATCAGTGAGTTGACAGACTTGCATACAGTTTTTCTTTTGTCTTTTTATTTTATACATGAGATGATTGAAGGGCAGAGAGACTGACATACACAGAACTAAGCTGTGTCAAATTTCTGAATCCTAAATTAGTGCATTTTCATTCGAGTAATCTCCCTGTGCCAAGTGCAAAAGATGCAAATTCCAACATATGAAGAAAAGAACAGAACTGAGATGATGGAGGATGGGATGGAATGCACTGGTTGATGTGCTGGCAGAATGCATGTTGGTCTTTTTGTTCCTACTCACCAGTACTCACTTTGCCCCACTCTGCTTTAATATTCCTTCCTTATCAAGCAGTTGTAAGAATATGTGACTGCTGTAGTCAAACCCATGTAGCGCTTACTGCAAACAAATTTAAATGAATACTAAAAACTAACAGGAGAGAATAATACATTAGTTTTTGATACTGTCTCCTTCATTTCCTCAGGTCTGGTTCCTATTTTTTTTTTTTTTTTTTAGGATCTCCCAGCAACTTTCTTGTAGATACATTGAAATAGTAATCTTTTATTATGGTTTCATGGTCAACAAAGTATGCCAAAGTGAACATTTTGGAAAGAATCTTGGTATTCTGGTTGTGCTTTGGGCTTTAGGAGTGTAGCTAATAATTTTACTCATTATTGTTTGTAGGAAGCAGCTGTTTGGACAGTACTTTTTAACAAGTGGATTAAAATATGCTTGAGAGCATGGGAAGAAATGACAGACACTGCAGAGTGTCTATACTAGAGGTCTGGGTTGGGTCTGATCATTAAAAAATATGTTTTGATTCCTGGTACCAAAAAGGAATATATCTTTGTTGATCGTAGAAGAAAATGTGACAGGAAGAACTACACGTGCATAAGTACCAGATTTTCTTTGAAATAGAGGGCTGCACTGCTAAAACAATCATTGTAGGTTTAACATTTAGTGCCTATTCTTAAGGAATTTTAGGTGTCTAGCATTTTTTGTGTGTTTTGGTTCTCACTTTCTACAAGGTCTCAAAAGTCTAAATCTTAATGAAAATATTTTTCTTTTTTTAAAATTTTATTTACTTGTGTGTGTGTGTGTGTGTGTGTGTGTACGTACGCGCGCGCGTGTGTGTGTGTGTGTGGCCTGCTCAGCCCACCAGGGGGCGGGCTGGCAGACATGTGGGTGGCTGGGGGATTGAACTGTGGTCCCTGGGCTTTGCTAAGCTTGCTCTAAGTAGGTGCTTCAGACCACTGAGCCATCTCACCAGCCCCCAATGAAAATATTTTTCTAACCTAAGATCCTTACTTTTACTTTTTATTTGTTTTTGGTTGTTAGTGTACTTTAGTAATTATCTTTTCTAAATTGATTTTATAGCTAAATCTTGAATTTACTTACAGTGCTGTAATTTGAATATTGTGCCTTTTCCCCCCAGAACCAATACCTGAATATAAACATAAACGCTCAACATCTGTTAATAGACATCAGTTAGTTCAATTTAGTATCAGTCTCACAGCTAACTAAAGTTTGTCACTTATACTCTTGAAATTTTATCTGCATTTTCTCTGAACTTTTGAACTGATTTCTTTTTTCTCTCTTTTGATCTTTTCTTCATGGATTCAAAAGGAAAAGGTATAGTAAATTTGGTTTGCATGAGTGGTTCTTTTACATTTGACTTTTTCAGTATTGAAAGATACTACCAATTATAGTCACTGCTCCTGTATAAAGAATCATAAATAGCTAATTGAAAAATTAAAGCAGACTTGTGAAAAACTGTACATACCTTTACTACTTTAACTGAAAACATATGTTTGCCTAATCGCTTGATATAACACAAGTCTTTCTTTGACTTTGTATTTGCTAGTAGGAGGCTTACAGCATCTTTTTTGGTATAAACTTTTTTAATAATGGATTATGAAAAATTTAGGTATTTGTGAATCAGTCCGTGAGTGAAAAATTCTAGATTTTAATAGAACTTTCCTTCAGTCAGTTCTTTACTGTTACTTCATTGGCACCCTATTTCCTGACAGTTTGGTAAAGCAGTTGACTTTTACCAAGTTTTTCTGAAACATCCTCTTAGTGTTCATAGAAACTACAGCTTGTTGTCTTCCACTGTTTCATTGGCTTACATACTTTCATGTCTTTTTATTTATTTATTTTTTGCTGGTACTGGGGATTGAACTCAGGACCTTGTGCTTGCCAGGCAAGCACTTATTCTACTGAGTCATCTCCCCAGCCCCTACTTTCATGTCTTTAAAGTGTAATAACATTCCAGTGGCATGAACACAGGAATGAGCATTCTGACTCTTAGGAAGCATCGGTCTCCTATACGGTGACAATTTAGCGGAGGGCATGCAAGGTAATGTGGTCTTCAGTGAACCTGTGGAGGGAATGAGAACTTCAGTCCTGTGGTTTGATCAGACACAGGTCAGAATTTCTACTAAAATAGTAGAAATTCTTGTACTATTTTATGATCATTGGTGAAATGGTTCCTAAGAAGAGCTTCCTTTTCTTTCTTTGGTCCTAAATTTTTTTTTTTTTTTTTTTGGCGGAACCGGGGATTGAACTCAGGCCCTTGTGCTTACCATGCAAGCGCTTATTCTACTGAGCTATCTTCCTGGCCCCAAAATATTTTAACATAATAAAGGCTAAGAAAAGAATAGTATTGAAAAATATCTAATACTAGCAAGTTAGAGTTCACATGTAGTTACATTTGATTTCTTCTGGAATATAGGTGTTTCCTTGTATGATTGTTTTTGGAACTAATTTAAACAAACTAGGGATGAAAAATAGTGGACTGACTTGTTTTTAGTGTATAGAGTTAGAAATTCTTGAAGATTTTATGGTAATTATAAACATTATGCATTCTATGTAGCATTTCTTTGCTACTCAGCATATTACTCTTAAGCCCAAAATATCCTGAGATCTACCCTGAGCCAAGTATACTTTGAAAGATACTTTGGTAGAAAGTTTCTTAGGTAGAGTATCTCTTATCCAAAGCCCTTGGGACCAGAAACGTTTCTGATTTTGGAGGTTGTGAATTTTGGAGTATTCATGGTAGACTTCACAGGTTGAGCATTCTTAATCCAAAATCCAAATGCTCCAAAATCAAAACCTTTTTGAGTATCAATATGATATTAAAAACGTTTTGAATTTTGGAGCATTTCAGATTAGGATTACTCAGTCTGTACTAACAAATGAAATAAATATAACTTATTGTAGTGTCAAGTAAATAAGCTTCTTGTGATATCTGTCTTCAGGTTCCCTTTGTAAGCTGTATCATTGTTATTAGTAATAATTCCTTACATTTGTACCTTTTAATAGTTAGGGATTTTCCACAGACATTTTATTATTTAAACATTGTGTGAACTCTGTGAAGCTTGAGGGAAAAGTAATCATCTCATTTTGTTTTTCTCCACGGGTTCCCTGCTGGATAAGGACCCACTCTAGTTTTTTTAATACTAAGTGGATAGTGTCAACCAATATAATTTTATGTGAATTTGTAAGTAACAACCTGGATAGAGCTCTCATTCCACCTTCCTGCTTCTGTCTAGGTCCTTATGTTCTTTCTGTGTAACAAGATTTAAGTGTTTAAAAGATGTTTTATGTCTGTTCAATACTTTCCCCCAGAATTGTCCACAATAATTTGGACTAAAAAAATGTTCAGTTCTAGTAGAATAAACCTGCTGTCCTCTTTCCTCAGAAATTCTATATTTTCTTTTTTTAGAAATTCTGTATTTTCTGAACTTAATCTACCTTATAAAATAACAAGTTTGTTAACATACTGTAAAGATAGAATGTATAAAGATAGAATGGGAATTGAAAAATATCTTTGTAGAGTCGGAGTAGGTTCTATTTTATGTACAGTCCATCACCTGTCCACCATCATTTGCTGCTTTAAAAAAATGTATAAATCTAATCTGTAAGTTAGTCTTGGAAACTTAATAATGTTCTAGGGACATTGACATTGCTTTTTTTTTTTTTTTTTTTTGCGGAACCGGGGATTGAACTCAGGTCCTTGCGTTTGCCAGGCAAGCGCTTATTCTACTGAGCCATATCTCAGGACCCTACGTTGCTATTTTGTGCATTAGCTTTCTTCACTAATTTATTCCCCTTAGCAACACAATGAGGTAATCTGTGTTTTCTGCATTTTACAGAAGATAAAGAAATGTAGAGAAATTAAGTGGCATTTTGAAAATTACTCAAACACATAGTTGCATTGTTTGTCACTCTCTAGGAGTAGGGATGGAATTAAATTTCAGTTATCTTGTTTTACAGCCATACTACCATATACAGGGAAACTATTTTGTTGGGTTTTTAAAAAAAATTTTATTTATTTGTGTGTGTGTGTGTGTGTGTGTGTGTGTGGCCAGCTCAGCCCACCAGGGGGTGGGGCTGGCTGGCATGTGGTGCTGGGGGATTGAACCCACAGTCCCTGTGCTTTACTAACTTGTTCTAAGTAGGTGCTTTAGACCACTGAGCCATCTCACCAGCCCGTTGGGCTTTTTTTTTTTTTTTGGCGGAACCGGGGATTGACCTCAGGCCCTTGCACTTGCCAGGGACACGCTTATTCCACTGAGCCATCTCCGCGACCCCTATAGGGAGACTGTAAAGATAGTAAATATATTGTAAAAAATCAAGAAAAAATTGAGAATATTGACACAGATGTGTAGGATCATTTAATGCATGTTTCAGGAGTGAGGGTAGTTGATAATTTAGTTTCCTGTGTTACCTAGTTTTTCATATGTAGGGCCTATAGTTAGGAAAGCATGTTTGGGTGTTTTATTTATTTATTTTTTTAAAAAATTTAATTTTTAAAATATTTATTTATTTATTTATGTTCGGGTGTTTAACTGTGTCCTTCTTCCCCATTATCTTTTTTTTTTAGTTCCTCTTTCTTCAGTGGTATGCTTATTCTTTATCTGATCATATTTCTTAATTTTCCTGTCCATATTTTTCCTTTCCTATAAGAAAGAATACTTCTGTTATCTACTTTAAGTATGAACTTTGTGAAATCAGGAAGCAGCAGTGAATGTTGATGGATCTGAACTCTGAATTTTGACCTTCAAACAGAACTGCAAAGGAGCTCAGCTCTATGCTGTTTGGGTGCTTCTCTGTTCATGGAAGACAGGCACCTAAGACCTGAGGGGTTTCTTTGTAGGGCTTGAGTGAGATTTCATACCACCCTCTTTGTCTTCTTACTTTTCTGTATTTTAGGGGAGGGTCTATAGGGTGTTCAGGGTCTCACTACTAGATCAGACTCATAGTGATTCTCGGGTTGAAAGCCTCCCAAGAGCTGGGATTACAGGCGCGTGCCACCACGCCCAGTCTTCTTACTTCCAATGCATCAGTTACTTACACTTTTTTTTTTAACTTGTGATCCAAAGCAGTAGTACATATAAAATATGTTACCAGACCATCATACTGTGACAGTTTTGCATGTTATTATGTACATTAAGGTTCTATGCATAACCCATGAACTATATAAAGTAGCCTTGACATGATAAGGCTCATGAAAATCTATTGCAGAGAGGTAATTTCAGTAGAGCTAAATACAACATGATTTTGTTTTAGACTCAGGTAAATTGTGGAATAAAGGGAAGTTTTAATGATTTTGCTTAAGTTGAGGGAAAGGAGAAAAATTGGGAAGCCAAAAGATTTATAATTTTAAGTGCTGGGGAGATAGCTCAGTAGAATAAGCACTTGCCTGGCAAGTGCAAGATCCTGAGTTCAATTCCCAGTACC